TTGAGAATATAAAAAGTATATTAAATATAATTTGGATTTCTTATATAGGGAGAAGGTGGGATTGTGGAGATGGTGACATAACAAATTTCCTTCAACAGAAATCATAGAACTGGTTTTATAAGTTTACCCTTCAGATCTTATGAAGACAATTAGGTGTTTGCTGACATTTTTATATAAAGATATCTTTTTATTTTTAATAAGGCTGGTATGAAGTGGGTCCTAAAAATCTGGTTAGTGAATATGTAGCTTGTGATCAGAAAAATGCTAAACTTAACTTTCCTCTTGTGTGCGGAGTTGTGTTCCCTCTGCAGTGCTTTTTCGTCTGTTGTTGCTTGCTAAGTGCTGTCAAATCAGTTCTGACCCTTAGTCACCTTGTATAGGGTTTCTGAGGAGTGGCTGGTGAGCCTGAACCACTGACCTTGTGGTTAGCACTCTAGTGCTTATCCTACTGTGCCACACCAGAACTCCTTAGAAGTATCACCCTCCTTTATTTATACCTGCCCTTACTGAATGTATGTTAGTGGGTTAGTATGATATGGTTGTGGCATTGAGCTTGGTGAAAATTTTGTGAAACTTTGGTGAAAGTTTTGATATTTCAGATGACTGTGAAACAAATTCTCAACCTATCCTCATCTTACTTCTTAAAAAGATTTTAAGCTAGTTAAAAAAGTAAAGAATACTCAGTGAAGGAAGATTTTGCATAAGGAAACTAGTTTAAACGAAGCATAATATATTCAAAGTATTTCTGTTTGCTTATCCAAACTTATTTTACTGTGACTATATTTTGTTAACCAGATTATATGTCTAAAGTTTGATAAACTGTTTTTTCACTATTTTTACATGAAATGTAAATCTTCATAAAATTTTTTGAATACATTTTTATCTAGTGAACTTATACATATGTAGAAATGTGTCTTCTGATCTCTTAGAAGATTATATTTACGTAAATTTTCTCATCAAAAACAGTCAGGAAAAAAACGCTCTTGAATCGAGGTATATACAAGCTGTTACAGAGATTTCTGTTGGAAAAAAAGTAATGTGTTTGGCATCTCTGAGCCTTCTAGTGCAGAATTTCTTTAATGATAATGTTGGAAAACTCACTTGTGTATAATTCTTAATCTTGAGAATTGCATCTGTTTTTACTAATTATGTATATGCAGTAGTAGAGAACAAATATCTATTCAGAACAGATAGAATGTGGGACAATGGATTTAGGAACAAAGATTCAAAAGTGGGAGCATATGCCAAATGGGAAAATTATTGCAGCTTATCAATTAGTAAAGATATGTGCAAGTTTACTCTGAAGACCTTAACATATGGCATGTTTGTCAAGGTGAAGGTAAAAATTGTACACAAGTGCATTATCTTCCAATAGACTAAATCTATCAAGGATTTCATGTTTAATTAGACACTAGGTAGAGCTTGTGTAGGGCAATAATCATAATTTCTTAAGAGAGTTTTGTATGGGCTGAAGATTTGAAAAGGCCTTTCTCAAAGGTGTAAATCTAGTTAATGCTTTTCTTTAGCCAGACCTCTTTTCCAACCACCTTTTGACATCTCCAGTTGGTATCCTGTCTTAATTATCCAGTGCTGCCATAATAGAAATGTCACAAGTGGATGACTTTAACAAACAGATTTTTTTTTTTCTCAGTTTGCTGTTGTTGTTAAAGTGTTGTCGAGTCAGTTCCTATGTCTAGCAATCCTGTATAGGGTTTCCACGGAGCAGCTGGTGGGTTTGAACTATCGACCTTATGTTCATAGTACAATGTTGATATTACAGAACTTCTGGGTTTCAGCATTTGTTGACCCAGAATTCCTTGGAGCTCTCCCATCAGCCTTGGCATCAGTTTCACCTAGATCAAGGAGCTTTCCAGTGCAGGGATCCCAGGTCCCCAGCTCTTCTTCCTTGATTGTAGTAGGTTTTCCTTTCTCAGCTCACTTCTCTCGCCTTTATCTTTGTAAGATAAAAGATACTGCTGTCCACACTCCTGGGAAGCTCCCTCATGTTGGATCAGGTTTGTGATGGGTTTAACGGTGGGCTGCTATGGAGTCCTGGTGTGGCGCTGTGGGTTAATGTGCCAGACTGCAAAGCCGTTTGAACTACAAGGTTAGTGGTTCAAGTTCACCAGCTGCTCCTTGGAAACGCTATACAGGGTCATATGGGTCAGAATCGACTCTACAGCACTTAACAACAACTATAGGGTATTGAGGCCCACCCTTTATTCTCTTACTGGTTTTTTGCATCATATTGTATCATGGGGTCAAGCCACTGAGATGGCCCAAACAAGTTGACATATATTTAGGATGGGGGTGCGAGAGTAGGGAGGAGAGCACAATTAAATCTATGGGAGATCCTATAGTTTGACATATTCAGAATTGAACTTGATCATTATTATTATTATTATTTTAAATGCTGTTGTTTCTTTTGCCTCTTTCTTATTCAGGAAGTAAGGTGGTTCGGAAGCGCCGTTTACCAGTAGAGTAAATTTTCCTTAGAAGCTGTTTATTTATTTCATCCATATTAGTGGTTTTAATGTCGTGGTTTTGCCCCCTTCAGGGAACATTAAACCGTTTCTGCAAACATTTTTAATTAACAAAACTAGGGGAGGGTTGCTGTTAGCATCTAGTGGGTAGAGGCCAGGGATGCTGCTGAACTTCCTACAATGCACATGAACTCCACAACAAATAATGATCTAGCCCCAGATTTCAAGAGTACAGAATTTGAGAAAACCAGATCCACAATGGCTTTCATGCCCCAATCCTAACAAGACTTGTAAACACTAACGTGGGGGAGTCCAGGGCAAAGTGGTGGAGTAAGCAGATGTACTGGGCTGACCATCTACAACAAAGATATGAGTGACACAAATACAGATGGTGCCCTGAGTATCAGAGGATGGGACAGAGGTGACTGAGTGCTGATTGGAAGAGGAAATGGAATAGGGACAATGAGAGAGAGAGAGAAAAAAAAAAAAGGGCGGACTGTGGTATGGTGTGGTATGACCTTCTGGAGCTTTGGGGTGTGGCTGTTACAGCAGTCTGCAGGCACAGGGCGGTACTGGAGTTTGGCTTCAAGAGGATCCATTTTTCCTTTGTTCTTTTTT